GATGCGCCCAGCTGCAAGAGCCCGAGTGAAGGTGAAGGCTCGGCTAAGCGGCTAAGCGTGGAAGTACAAGCCTCCGTCCATCCGAGTTATGAGGAATGTGAGTCTGACACCGCTATGTTGTCCGTAAAAAGTCATTGTATCCATAGGATATATAAAGTTATACAGGAAGTGTAATCTACTGAGTTAAAATTTTTAAAAAACACACTAAAAACTAAAAACAACACAACGGTACGGATAAGTGTCCTGCTCGCGCCGGATGTAGTAACAACATTTGAACATATACCATATCCTAATGCACTCTGTGAGTGCTCTCTGGATGAATTCTATTTTATATACATCTTATCTTTATTTATTTCAGATCCTGTATAATCAAACATTTATAACATTACTCATTAAAGAACTAGTTCAACATTTTGGGAAAAATACACAGACCAAAATTCTAAAGCTCACCAATTTAGATAATAATAATAATAAATAATACATTTTATTAAAAGAGCGCTTTTCTGAATACTCAAAGACACTGTAAAATATAATAAAAGAAGAATAAAGAATCAATAGGTAAAAAACATATAAAAGTACATTACATTGTTAAAAACACATTAGACTCAGATTTTAAAAGCCATTTGAAAAGAGTGTTTTTGTCAGTGATTTGAATGTTGGAGGGTCGGTACAATCACGGATGGCTTTGGGGAGAGAGTTCCAGAGGGAGGGGGCAGCTACAGAGAACGTAGCTAACAGTGAACACATGAATTACATGTTACATGTTATGCTACTTCTTGTTCAACAACAGTGTTGCAGCATCTCCGGCTAATTGTGCAGGTTGTCAAACACAATCAGGGAGGGGTTTGGATCAGCTACAATGGAAGAAAACCTAGAGACCTGTGAAACAGCGTAGGGACTTGTTGTTTTTTGGGCTTTTAATGCCTGTTATCAAAAGTGACAGCCGAAAGGAGTGTGGAGGGAGAGCGCATTCTACCAGGTGAGGTGAACTTCACTACTACTTCTCACAATAAAGTTGTTCTTTATGCTATGAGTGTTGCTGGTGTTCTGACCTTTTTAACCTCACTGTGACAAGACTTTTTGAAGCTGCACACAGTCACTACACACCATGCTGTTGTTCTACAAGAAACTCCCTCTAAGACTGTTGTTTTTACATTTCTGTTTGTGTTTGGATCAACCAAACAAGATTAAACATGTTACAGTGAGCTTTGGAGGTGTCCGTACGTGTATTTTGTTTAATTTAGTCAGAGCAAGGTTGGTTGTTTTTCCCCTGCATCCAATCTTTATGCTTAACTAAGACTAACCAACTCAAGCTCTGACAAGGAACTTTCATTCTGTGTTGATTCTGGCGACCCCTGTGGATAAAAGTGGTAGTGTTTCTACTGCCTTGTTTCATTGATTTCAAGGAGAATCTGACCGAATCTGACCAGATCTTATCCAGTGGCAGGCATTGATTATATAGAAATGTATATAGAAATAGCCAATCTTCTTGCTGATGCTCTTGTTTGTTAATGTAGGTCATGTGTGTTCTGTTTAATCCAGTAGTGTGAGATTAGAGCACTTCCAACATACAGAAGCAGATTAACGCTGGATGTACACGGCATCGTGCTGTGCCGCATACTGACTACACTCCAGTCTGTCGCAGTTTCAGTGTCCTCGGACATGTTTCAGAAGCAGAGCATCTGTTCTTCAGCAGCTGCGTTAATCAAAGTTTGGAGATGTTTTGCTGACATTTTTTATATATATTTACAGCACATTTAATATATATATTTTATACATAAAAAATAGGGTTGTATAATGAAATTCCGGTTGTTCCCTTGATCAAGGACATTTATTTATCATTACACAACACAAGGTTGTATGATGAAGCAGTTTCTTCATGCTACACACATAGGAAAAGATAATTACATTTATATTAGAGTAACATAACAAAAAAACAATATAACATTTTTTATAGACATATATACCCATACACTATACAGCCAGGAAATAATTAAATAAAGACATCTTTTGAATTTGCGTCTGATTGAAGTAAACAGCAGCAACAAGACAGTGATAATAATATGGTTTCATCTTCACATAAAAGAAACTGTGTCCATCCACTTGAGCAAGTATCATCGACATTAACACAGAGTCTGCCTCCTCTCGTCTTGCACTTTATGACGAACATGAATACAACAATACCTTTTTTACAACAGCCATTTTGACATGAAGTAATAGGGTAAGCACAGGTGTTACCAATGACATTTAGTGTAGCAGAGCCATTCCAGTGAGCTGTCTGCACAATAGCAGCACCCTGACTCTCTTTG